GCTTCTCACACTATTGAGACAGAAGTGTCTACACATGCATGTCTGATTTATTTCACTGATGAGTATGATCTCAAGTTGATCCATTTACCTATAACTGTCTCACATTTATCCTTTATGGCTCCATTGATAAAAGTACCATATCTTTTTTATCCATTCCTCAGTTGATGGGGATTTAGGTTGTTTCCAAGATCTGGCTATTACAAATTGTGCTGCTGTGAACATGGATGCACATATATCGCTGTGGTGTGATGTTTTTAATTCTTCTGGGAAGATACCCAGAAGGGGAATAGCTGAGTCAAATGGGACCGCCTAGTCTAGTTTTTTGAGAAATCTCTACACTGATTGCTAGAGTGGTTGCACCAGTCTATACTCCAACAGTGGAGAAATGTTCCTTTTTCCCCACAGCCCCTCCAACGTGTGTTATTGGTTATTTCTTGATAATAACCATTCTTTCTGGGGTGAGATAGAATCTCAGTGTTTTAATTTGCATTGGGGTTCATATCTTGCCACAGATTACCTTGGATGCTAGAATGGAACTATGGGACTTACTGTTTGCCCTGCTGGATTTTGGACTTCCCTTGGTCCCATGCTTTTCTATTCTGGTATTTAGAATGGAAATACTTAACCTTGTGCCACACTGTATGTTGGAAGTGTTCAACTTTCTTTTTGTTTCTACATGGGCTTGTGACTAGGAGTTTCCCTTAAATTGTAGAGACTTTAGACTTGGACTTCCCAGTTGAAACTGTTAGGCCTTTTGCAACTCTTGGAGATAAACTAAATGCCTTTTGCATAAAGGGATATGCATGAATCTTTGAATGGGGGATAGAATGTTATGGCTTGTGTCTAGGTATTCCCCAAAAACCTTATGTGGTCATATGTGGGGCTTTTCCTGAGGTGGCTGGATCTAGGGTGTATGATGCTGGGATTAAGGGTGAGTGATTATTGAATCAGTCCAATGATTGGTTTAGCACAGTTCTGGATGTGGATGGTAGGAACGCTGACTCTACATATGGATGGCAACACCCAAAGGGCAGATGGTCTGTAAGGAATATGAGGGAGAGACTGTCTGCTGCTACTACTTCATTACTGTGATGCTTTGGTATCTTCTACCCTCCATGAACTCCTTTTCCTGTGTGATTCCCCTATCCCACTAGTCAGCCACTGGGAACCAAAACCTCTACAAACTGAAGTACAATAAACCTTCCCTCCTTTAAGTTTGAATGTTGAATATTTTGTCTGAGCAAGGAGAAAAGTAACCAAGTTAGTGGTGATGTTTTGCAACACTTTTTTTTTTGGTACCAGGGATCGAACTTATGACCTTGGGCTTACCAGGCAGGCACTTGTGCCACTGAGCCAAATCCCCAGCCCTTGCAATACATTTTAAGATCTTGCACTCCTCTTCTACTACATGTAAAGCTGATTCAGTGGCTTTTACCTTTTTTCAGATTATGTTCAAAGAAATTTCTGCTGTACAATTTTGTACCAAGTACAAAATTCATAATAAAGCAAAATGAAACACAGGCTGGGAGAGATGACCAGTGCCACCTGTTAGAACCTATTCAGATTATACCACCAAACTTTTTTTTTTTCTTTCTTTTTTCTTGATAGCTTATTCCATCTAAAATTTTGTTGCTCCTATAATTTCAAGTTACTTTTGAGTATGGCCTTAGCATTGAGCTGCCAGGCTGGGGATTTAGCTCAGTGACATAAGCGCCTGCCTGGCAAGCATGAGGTTGTGAGTTCGATTCCTGGTATCAAAAAATAAAAAAAATAAGAAGCATTGAGCTGCCTCATCTGGAAAGTTCCCAGTAAATCAGTGCCACATTTGTAATTTAAATTCTCAACAGTGAGCTTGGGATCTTAGCTTAAGGCAAGAGGATTGCTGCAAGTTCAGCCTAAACTACATAGCAAGACCTCCTCCTCTTTGAGGGAAAAAAATTCTGAGCAGAGTTGGAATCTCCTTATGTAGAAGCGTCTTATGATACTTTACCACATACTATATCCTTGGCTAATTTGTCCAACCACGTTGGATATTGGTGGCTAAAGGGAATTACAGATTCTTGGCATACATTATGAGTATTGATATAAAATACAGTATCTCTAGATCAAATCCAGGTTATAAAGAGAATGATGTTCACAGAATACAATACAAAGGAACAAAAAGTAAAGAGCTTTATACCTGAAACCTTACAGTAGAACTCTAGGAATCTTATATAGCCTGAGGTCTGTGAGGTGATCCTTCCTCCCAGATGTTAGATTTCTAACAGTGAAATATGAAAGAGAGGAAAGACAAATGAGATTGGGTTAGTTTTACCAGAGTGGCTAGACGAAATACTAAATAAATTGGCAGAACCTGTTGTCGTGTAGATGAATATGTAATCCTGCCAAAGTGCAAAAGTGTGAGAACTTTTAACAGATGCTAATTTTATCCCCCCAATCTGTATCCTTACACATGCCTGACCCAGAAGGGTCTTCCTCTCAAGAAAGAAGGTAGAAATTCACTTCCCCTAGTCTAAAGAAACGATCAAAAATACCAGTGCCTAATACAGTTCTCTCAGCTTATTTCCCAAAATAGCTGTTTCCAAAATGTGTAAAATTTTAACCTAAGTTGGGCATAATTGTGCATGCCTTTAACCCCACAACCCAGAAGCTGAGGCAAGAGGATTACAAATTCAAACCCAGAGTTGCCAACGTAATGACCTAGTGCAACTGTGTCTCAGAATAAAAAGTATGAAAAGGACAGAGTGCAGCTCAGCGTGAAGACCTTGGGTTCGACTCCAGTACCACTAAGATGAAATAAACTTTTAACTCACATAGAACACTGTATAGCATTACTACTGTTTACTCAGGACACAAGCTAACCCTAAAATAATTGTATTCTCTTTGTATTTTTCTTTTTTGTTTTTGTTTAGTTTGGGGTTTTTTTGGTTTTGTTTGTTTGTTGTAGAGAAAGGTCTCACTATATAATTCACTGTCCTTGAACTTACTATAACCCAGGCTGGCTCCAAACTCTTAGTGTTTCTCCTGCCTCAGTCTCCTGAATACTAGAATTACAGATATGCGCCATCATGCCCAGCATTACTTTTCCTTCTATAAGTATCTTCTTCTAAATTATGAGTAAAATCATGAGGGAGAGGCCCTGGGATCATATGCCGTAAATACATTTTTCTACTAGTTTTTCTGATTTGTTGTAAGTTCAAGCACATTGTGCTTTATTGGTTCATTTTTTATGTTGCATTTTTGTAAGTGTTTATATATGCATTTGCATCAATTAGTTTCATAATTTAAGTCAAGTTTTTACGATGTATACTGGAAACTTGCAGCATAAGATGCATAGTTTATGAATGAAAGTTTTTATATAAAAGAGGTAATTTATTGCTTCACAGAGCCTACAGGGAAGAATATTTATCTCTTTTTGTAGACTGTCTGCATAATCCTGAAAAACCAAATAATGACTCTTGTACTTTATTACTGAAAATGCATATAGATTATAACATATGTATTACAAACGATTTATAACTATGTAATGCCAATTTATAAACAGTGTTCTAAAGGTGCATTTAGGAAGCTGGGCATGGTGGCATACACTTGTAATCTCAATACTTGATGACTTAGGTAAGAGGGTAGCAAATTCAAGGCCAACCTGGGCTACATAGTGAGACCCTGTCTCAAAAACCACCAATAAAAACTTAAAAGTGCTTTTAGTTATAGCTTATTAAAATCGTAAGTATATTTCCCTATGAAAGCACTATTTTTAATGACTATCATGTATTCTCTTGTATAAGTATAATATATTGAACTTATCCCAGCATTTTGAAATTCAAGTTGTAATTTGGAGTTTGCTTTAATTTTTTCTGTCTATGTATACAATGTTAAGTGAACATTTTTCTGTGTAAAGTACAGCCAAGTTTTTGCTTTCTTCCCTCGCAGTGGAAGTTGCTGGGCTCACCACTCTTTCTACTCTGTGGTGCTCTTTGAAGGTTAAATGACCTAATATTTTGCCAGTGCCTAGCACAGTGTGTGGCACGTTGTACGTGCATGATAAATGCCATTCACAAACCTTTCCCTGACTCAGCAGTCAGATAAGGAAATAAAGTTTGACGTGGTTTTTTGAAGCAAGCACTGGGTGTTTCAGCAGTAGCACAGCAAGCGATGGTGCATAGAGAAAGGGCAGTGGAGAGCCTGAAGCTGTGTGAGCGCTGACTTTCCTGATCTTTCATCTGGACTGGTTCTTCCCAGTAGATTTTTCAAGTGTGTTTTAGAAATACCTTACTCTGAGACTGTCTGAATATAAGCTTTGTTTTGTTTTGTTTTGTTTTGTTTTGTTGTTTTTTAGTTAAAGTGTATAAGTTTTGAAGGTAATATACAGCTGAGAAAAATTACAAAATTTTATTTAAAATAATGTGATCTTTGTGTTATCTTTGTTTACTCTATTTGTATTTCATATTTTTTGTAATACTTTATTCAAGTGTGTGTCCAATGATGTCTTTTCTGTTTTTTTGTTTTTGTTTTTGTTTTTTTTAATTATCCTAGTCACGTGAACTGGAAATTTCAGTTTATTGGCGTGATTGGCGATCTCTGTGCGCTGTAAAATTTCTGAGGTTAGAAGATTTTTTAGACAACCAACGCCATGGCATGTGTCTCTATTTGGAACCACAGGGTACTTTATTTGCAGAGGTAATAAATGTATTTTATTAAATGTGCATAACTATTTTTGAAATTATGCATGTAGACAATATGACATAGAAGTAGAAAGAGCTGTAGGCCGAAAGTGGTGACTTAGCGTCTCCTCTAAGATAGAAGGTAAAGAGTCATGTAGCCCTACCACTGACTAGGTATGTGACCTTGAGAAAAGTCTGTTTTCTCATCTCAGAAATTAAGGGTTGGATTAAATCATGGCTAAGATTCCCTTCAGCTTTGAAATCTTAAGGAGTTTAGTGGATTTCATGAGCATAAATCCAATGCTACTTTCAGGTCAATTTAAATTTTTTTCACTGCAGGTTACCTTTTTTAATCCAGTTATTGAAAGAAGACCAAAACTCCAAAGACAAAAGAAAATTTTTTCCAAACAGCAAGGTAATTACAAAAAGTCAAGTACAGAATAATTTTGGTGTTTTATTAAGTACAGGAGATATAATTATTATTTTAAAGTTATATCCATGTATAGTTTCTTTCTTTTTAGTTCATTTCTTTCTAACATTTTATTAAACATTTCAAACACATAGTAGAAAGATAAGTGTAGCGTACTATCACCCAGCTTCAGCAATAGTCATTTTGTGATCAGTTTTGTTTTACCTATATCCCATTTTCTCACATTATTTGACAGAAACTCAGACATCATTGATTCATCTATATATATGATAGTTTGTATTTCTAAAAGATAAGGATTCTTTTAGAAACTTTAACTGTATATATCATTATGATATTTAAGAAAAAAAGAAACAATTTCTTACTGTTTCACTTTTTAAACTACTATGCTATTTTGCACTAACTTGAATAGCAAATAGTTAACTAGTTTTTTTGGGTGACAAATTTGTTTGTTTTTCATAAATTATAATCTGATAAATATGAATTTTTAAATTGTGGCTTTTGGTAATATATAAATAAATTCTTCTGTTTTCTTTATTCACAATATCTACAGGCAAAACATTTCTCAGAGCTCCTCAAATGAATATTAATATTGCCACTTGGGGAAGGCTGGTGAGAAGAGCTATTCCTACAGTAAATCACTCTGGCACCTTCAGCCCCCAAGCCTCTGTCCCTGCTACAGTGCCAGTAGTTGATGTACGCATCCCTGAGCTGACACCATCATCCAGGTATGTGTCATGATGTTTAAGCACAAACAGTGATGGAGACATTTATATATTAAATACAGTGGTTATACTAAGAGTCTCAGTTTTTCCAAGTCGTATTTTAAAATAAGTTCTGTTTTAAACAAAATAGTTTGCTTTTGTTTTAAAGCTATTTCAGATAAATACTTTTCTGTTACTGTTTTGGTGAATTGCTTTATCTTCTGTAAGTGATTCTGCAGTAACCAAATTGGACTTTGATCTTGAGCCCGAACCTCCTCCGGCCCCACCACGTGCTTCTTCCCTTGGAGACATAGATGAATCTACATTAAGAGTTTTGGATACACCTGGACAGGCAAGGCATTTAAAACCTTGTGTAATTCCTTTTTACCAAATGAATTAGCAGTAAAAGTCATCACAGAGAATAAAGTCTACGTTTCAATTTAAGTCACCTCTGTGAATGGCATATGTATATATTTCTTATAAATGAACTGTTCTTAAGTAAATTAGTCCAAGCTGACAGGCCATAGGAGATGGAATAGATTGTTTTAGGAGCATGGCTGGTATGTGTCATCATTAACTTTTTTCATTTTTTGTGGTGCTGGAGATTGAACCAGCTGGGGCCACATGCATGCTAGGCACACAATCTAGCAGAGAGCTATAGCCTCAGACCCTAAAACATTCTTTATAATATGTATTGAAGATGATTGATGATAATGTGTTAGTATTTTGCGTTTTTAAGGTAAATATTAATGTAAAATTCATGTCCAAAAGAATGAATCTTTATTCATTTTGAATATCTAAATTTTTTCCTAATTTATGAATGTTTCTTTGGTTTAACAAGCATTTAATATTTTACAGGATTCAGAAACTGTGTTTGATATTGAAAATGACAGAAATACTATACTTCCAAAATCACAATCGGTATATGATCCTGACATTCCTGATTCAGGGCTAGGATATAGTAGTATTCAAGAATTTGAGGATAGAAGGTAAAGACTGTGTACAGTGTTTTTGCTACTACATGTTTGATGTTATATTTCTGGCCTTATTTGTAATTGAAATTACTGTTTTCAGATCTCAGCAGAGATTTCAGTTCAATCTACAAGACTTCAGATGTTGTGCTGTCTTGGGTAGAGGACATTTTGGAAAGGTAATCTTTTGGAATTTTTTGCAATGCTTATAAAATTAGTAACTCATAGGACATAATTGTTTTAATCTTATTTCAGGTGCTTTTGGCTGAATATAAACACACAAATGAGATGTTTGCTATAAAAGCTTTAAAGAAAGGAGACATTGTGGCTCGAGATGAAGTAGACAGGTTAGTTTTTTTAAAACGACATTGTTTCTCTGAAGTTATAAAGTAAGAGTTATGCATATATTGCAACAACAGAGCATTCATTGTATAAATTAGTGTATCTGTACTTTGCAAAACGTAAGTAGTTAAATGCTGGGGTTTTTTTCTAGCCATTTCCTTTTTCCCATTTTGACAGTTAACTGGTTATTGGATACCAAGGAAAAATGGTGAAACATTTAATCTGTAAGATTTTTATAGCCAGGCCTGGCAGTGAATTCTTGAAATCCCATCTACTGTAGATACTGAGAGTAGGAGGGTCTTAAGTTCAAGGCCAGCCTGGGAAACATGACCAGACTTTTGTCTCACAAAAATAAATATTTTTATAAATGGAGTTAATAAATGTACCAATAAAACTAATTGTTAGAAAATAAATGGAGATATTAAAGTATTTATTTAGGATACAAATCTGTTACTCATTTATGGTTCAGGAAGGCTATATCTTATTTAATTTCACAGACAAATAGAATGTCATTTCCATATATTCTGCAGTTATCTGAATAATTAATATATTCTGCTTTTAACCTTTTTTCTGTTTTTCTTTAAAATCATTTTTTGACAATAGTACCTTTCTGAAGAATTTAATGTAAATTGTGGATTCATATTTTCTTATAATTAGTAAAATGCAAGGACTTTGATTAAAGATTACAATTGGGTTAGAAAATAGTTTAAAGATTCAAGTATGGAATTATATACAAATGACCTGTTTATCATAAAGGCTTTCATTTGATATTTAGTAGTACTTTCACCATCAGGAGGCATCTAATGAAAAACAGTACTGTAAAATGAAAGGAGCCTTAGTGAGACAAAAGACTTTTCTAAATTTTAAAAGTGTTTTTCTTTGTAGATTTATTCATTTTTTTGCTTCTTTTATTATAGTTTTCATATACATGAAAATATTGCTTTCTTGATATCTAGAATTGCTCAGAGAGGCATTTTTCTAGCTATTTATAAAACACTGTGAGCACCATATTACAAACTTAAAAAGTATGTTCTTACGTTCCATAAACAGATTATCTATGTAAATCTTTGATCCTATCTTCAGCCTGTTTATAATTGGCAATAATAGAAGGATCAGAAGATCTTCTTTCCTGGAATAGTAAAATATTTGCTTTATTCTACATTTCTAATGATAAATTTATTTCCCAAAAAAACTTGAAAATTGGTTAGAGTTTGAGTGCTCCTAATCTGAAATCTAAAATCCTCTAAATTTTTGGGCATGGACATTATGTTACAAAGTCAAATTGCACAAAACAAAACTGTTTCATATACAAAACTATTTAAATTACTGTTACAAAATTGCCTTCAGATTATATGAAATAAAAAATTAATTTTGTATTTACAGTTGGGTTCCCATCCCCAGCCTTAATGAAACTTACTTATTTATAAGTACCATGCGCTAACATTGTGCCACTGGAGCGCTAAGTTAATTTCAGTTTTAAATCTTTGCATTTTTCAGTAACATGAAAATAAAATAATCTCAAGTAAAACTGGTATAAAATTTTAAAATGAGAAGTTTCAAAAGAAATGAAACATACTCTTAGAAAACTTTGAGATAGGTAGAGAAAAGGAGTAATTTTCTTGCAATTTTTTGCTTATTTGTAACTTTATTTATTTTCTCATTCATACTTTCAAGTAATATATATTCTATATATGCTAAATGTATGCTGGTCTTTTTTGGAGAGACTGGACTATTTTTTAAATTGCATTTTTTTCATATTTTTTTGTTTGATATGGTTAAACCTTAAAATGAATACAAAATAGGCATATTTTAAGATAGGAACCAAAAGTTGACATTAATACTTGTTTTTCAAAAGCTTTGTCTAATGCTTTATCTAGTTAGTTAGTTTTTTGAGAGAGGATCTCAGTATGTAGTTCAGGCTCATCTTGAATTTATTATGTAGCTCAGGCTGACCTTCAATTCATGATTCTCTGGTCTCGGCCGCCCAAGTGGTACAGGCATGTACCACCACATGTGGCTGATACTTTTAGTTTTTAATTTCTGTTTTCTGTTGTTGCATAGATTGCAGAATTTTTTGATTCACCCTCTTTTTTATTATTTATTTATTTACGTATTTTGGTACTGGGAATCAAACTCACAACCTCGTGCTTGCCAGGCAGGCACTGATGCTGCTGAGGTAAATAAATCCTCAATCTCTCAACCTCACTTTCAATGAACATAAATTGTACAAAACCCAAAGTAATTTATATACAGAGATTACGCTGTCTTTCTGTTGGCTGAACACTGTCTGAGTCCCGTCTCCTACCACCTGCACTATTGTAGTCCTCATTCAGCTTCCTTTTTTGCCCATCATCTTCAACACCCCAGAATAGGATTGGAAGTGTTAGAAACATACATAGAACAAGAAAGTGTGTCTACTGACCTGTAGTTTGAGCAAGTGCTAGTAATAAGTAAGATTAATTCAAGTTTTACTGGAAATACATTTGACCTAGTTTCTTCTACTTTGTAATTTTAGTCAAATTAATGTAAATCTTTTAAAGAAAGAGATTTTCTTCTTGTTTCTTATGTTTTGGTTTTGCTATTAGGGAAAAGTTAACATTTCATATTAGTAAGTTTGACTACTAATTTTAATAAATTGTCTTGGTTCTTACAGGAGAAATTTTTTTTTTTAACTTTTTATCAATACCACGGATCGAACTCACGACCGCCTGCTTGCAAGGCAGGTGCTTATGCTGCTGAGCTAAATCCCCAGCCCTACAGGAGAAATTTTTGATTACTTGGATTTTTTTGGTGCTGTTACAGAAAATTACCTTGTTTAAGGAAGTTTGAAGCATGCTATAGAATTCTCTACATAGCCTCCTTTCTGCTTTTCTACATAAAATTTTATGCCTCTCAATTTCATTTTATATGAAAATTGAATATATAACTCATGAATTATGAATATATTACCTGAAATTATGTTAGTCACAAGTTTAAATTGTTTAAAATATTTTAGGTTATTAAATTCTCTAATTTCTGATAAGTTCTCATAATTCACCTCTAATTAAACCTCTTAAAAGTTTACTGTCTAACCAACAGGGAGTGGTGGTATATGCCTATAACCTTAACATTTGTGAGGCTGAGACAGGATTGCCATTGTGAACAGTTTCATAGAACGTTTACCATTCTGATGCTTTCAGTGTGAACACTATAGTCTTTAGGGAATACAAGTTGTATTGTACTTTTCATTTATATTTTTTAGGTATATATGTAGTAGAACAGTCTCGTAGCACATTTACCAAAAGATATTTCATTGCTATTAGTTAAAAGCTAGTCTGGATTACACAGTGAGTGAAAGGCCAGCCTGGTATACAGAGCTGTCTCAAAAAATAGACAGAGATTAACCATGACCAATAACCATACATGTACCATTCTGATACTGTCAGTGTGAACACTACAGTCTTTAGGGCATACAAGTTGTATTGTACCTTTCATTAATATATTTTAGGTATATATATAGTAAAACAGTTTCATAGCACATATAGCAAAAGATATTTCATGATTTTTAAAGTTGAAGCACTTAAAGAATTTAAGTTTTAGTATTTTTAAAGATATTATTTGCAACTAAAATTTTTTAAAGACTATTCATTTTTTGTGCATTTTCTCTTACAGCTTGATGTGCGAAAAAAGAATTTTTGAAACTGTGAATAGTGTAAGGCATCCCTTTTTGGTGAACCTTTTTGCATGTTTCCAAACCAAAGAGCATGTTTGCTTTGTAATGGAATATGCTGCCGGTGGGGACCTAATGATGCACATTCATACTGATGTCTTTTCTGAACCAAGAGCTGTGTGAGTATGCTTTAGACATTTGTCTGAGTTTTTCCATTATTGATTTCTTTTTGGGAAGAAAAAGCTCACTGTGAATTTTAGGGTTTTTTCCCTAATGGAAAGTACATCATAGTAAGAAATATTAGAATTACTTAACTTTTTACTAGATACTTTTTGTATTTATTTATTATGTTGTCAATTTTGAAAATTTCATGAATTATCCCAAATCATACTTAATAACATAGCTAACCAGTATAGGTTCATTTTAGCATTTTCTGCGTCATAATTTTCTCCCTAAGAAATGACATCCAGGACCATGGATTTAACAATTGTAAGCCAGACATGGAGGCACATACCTGTAATCCCAGCACTTGGGAGGCTGAGGCAGGAAAATATACATATACCTCAAATATATATATGTAATTACCTGCTTGAACTTATAAAATCTCTGAAAGAACATAAAAGAATATAAAGGAAACTGGTAGAGGTTTGGTGTCCCTTGTCTAAAGTGCTTTGGGGATTTTTTTTATATTTTGAAATATTTGCATCATCGAGCCTCCCTAATCCAAAAAGTTGAAATGCTGAAAATTCCAAAACTTTTTCAGTGTTGTAATGGTGTTCAAGAATTTTGAAAGCTGGGCGTGGTGGTTCATGCCTGTAATCCCAGCACTCAGGAGGCTGAGACAGGAGGATCGTTGTGAGTTCGAGACCAGGCTGGGCTACAAAGTGAGCTCAAGGCCAGCCTGAACTGCATAGAGACCCTGTCTCAAAAAAAGACAAGAAAAAAAATTTTTTTTGAATTTTGGAACATTTCAGATTTCAGATTTTCATTTTGGGGATGCTCAACCTGTATACATATTGCCTCCAGTATTTACAGGCTTTTCATCATAAACCTTTGTTATGGTTTATTTCAGTAGCATGTTAAAACTTCTGCTTGGGGCTGGGGATTTAGCTCAGCGGCCTAAGCACCTGCCTTGCAGGCAGGCAGTCGTGAGTTCGATCCCTGGTACCGATAAAAAGGAAAAAGACAAAAAAATAAAACTTCTGCTTATTCAAGTATATAAAAATCAGTCATACTAAATAGTTGAGGTTGTATGTGCATTTACAGTTTGTATATTTATTTTCCTTATTATCGTGATTTTAATAGATATGATGCTAAACACTGATATTTATTAAATTTAGATTTACAGTCCTGAGGATTACAGTCCTCTTCCCTAACCATCTTAACTGTAGTAGTATTCCGTTTGTAAGACTTTTCCATTTGTAAGACTGAAAAGTATCTCACTTAACATCACAAACTAAGCTCCTGATTTTTCCCACTCCTTGTCTGCCTTACCTACCACTCCCCAGACCTGCTGCTGTCCTGGTCTCCCTCAGCTTGTTAATGGCAGTAGCCCTAGCTGTTGTTGTTGAACACAGAGCAGGGAGTTTGGTTTGGTTTGGTTTGCTTAAGCCAAAGGTTGAACCCAGAGAGCGCTGAGCTATATAACCCCATCTTTTTTTATTTTTGTTTTGGTACAGGATCTTAACTGAGTCTGCAGGCTGCCCTTGAAGTTGATCCGTCTGCCTCAGCCTCCTAGATAGCTGAGGTTACAGACATGATGTGCCATTGCTCCTAGCCAGGCAGTCATTCTTGAGTTTCTTTTTCCTTCATGTAAACATCCTCTATTTCCGGAATATAACAAGACAGAGCACAAAACGTAAATTAGTGGTACCCTTACTGATTTTACTCTTCAATTTTTATCTTCTGATGAAGTAGCAGCTGACATTTGTATCACACTTCACACTTGTTGGATTTTCATCATAACTGTTAGAGGTCTGTAGAACAGACAGTAGTGGTACTGTCACAGCCTTGAAGTTTCAGATAAATAAATAGGGATTAGTTCTAATGAGTCATGAAGCATTCAAAAAAGAGGGAAGTAGGAAAGTAATAGGAGGCTACTAATAATTCATTCCCGAATATTTTCGAAACTGAAGAAGGGTACTTGCTCTGCCATGTGAATTTATTTTTGTTTTATTATGTTTGGTTTTGTTTTTTTAAGGAAATAAAATATAGTTCTGCCTTAAGTAACTATTATTTTTGTTGAGAATATAAATTATACATAAATGAAACCAGCCCACTGAAGTGCCAACATAAAATGCTACACTGTACTATTCATTTAGTCTCTTCCTCTTCAACAAACTAGATATATTTCAGGAATTATGTTATGCATTTGTGGTAAAAATTGAAAAAGACAAACCTGGGGCCCATGCTTGGATAGATAATATTCTAACCCGGGTGTGGTGGTGCACACCTGTAATCCCAGTCTCCTCATGGAGACTGAGGTAAAATCACAATTTTGAGCTCAGCCTGAAGACAGCTAAGTGACTCAGCAAGACCTCTCAAAACAAAATATAAAAATGGGCTAGAGATGTTTCCCAGTGAAAGAGCTCTGAGTTCAATCCCCAGTATCCCACACACACACACCAAAAGTTAATATTTCAGATAGGCCCAAATTACCCTGCGCTCCAAATCTGTATGTCAGACTTTTAGATGTTGTTCCCTGCAGGGAATTCAATCAAAATACCTAAACTAAATTTATTTTCCCCACAAAATTTTGACAACTTTTGTATTTCTTTACCCGTTATTCCCACAGCTTCATCCTATACAGCTAATAAGACACCATGTCCTGTCATGCCAGTTTTTAAAATTTCTCTTGCATTTGGTAATCTCTTTGATGCCTCTAGAGTGGATATTCGTGTTATTTATCTATGCTACCATAAAAGTCTTGTGTCTTCTTTTTCTCTCTGGATCTCTATATACATCTGCTCCTGCCTCTACATTGCTATCAGGGGAAATTCCCAGAGTGTGCCCTTTGGTTAAAATGGTTTGTTTCTCCATCACAAAGAGAAACTGAGCATGGTGGTACATGCCTGTAATCCCAGCACTCAGGAGGCTGAGGCAGGAGTATTGCCACAAGGCCAGCCTGAGCTACATTATAAGTTCAAGGTGAGCCTGAACTACAAAGTGAGACCCTGTTTTAAACAACGAAGAAGAGAGAAAGAAGAAATTTCAGTATCCATAGTACGACATTCAAGACCCTATGTTCAAGCTGTCATTTCAGCCTAACATCCTACTTCTCCATATATACTCATCCTTTATCTTAACCACAAAAACTCGTTATTGATTGTCACAGCTCTACTCAGGAATCCCATATACTGTATTTTCATCCCTCACAAAAGTTATCATTCTGTCTTTTTTACCCTTAAGACACATTATATATAGTCTTTCAGAAGTAAATCAGTTGTCCTCTCTGGGTCCTCAGTGACTCTACCAGGCAAAATTAATGGCTCCCGTTGACTACTTTCGCGCTTTTTAATTTCACCCCTTATATCTAGTATAATGTGTTGTACATAGTAAGGACTAAATAAATACCCATAAAATTACTTAACCACAGAGTTTTGCTTTGAAGTGTAAAAATATAAGCTAGGACTTAAGAACCATGAAGTTTATTAAACTTTTGGTTTAATTCTTCAAACAGATTTTATGCTGCATGTGTAGTTCTTGGGTTGCAATATTTACATGAACACAAAATTGTTTATAGGTGAGTAAAATTTTTATTGCTCTTAATCACTTAATTTTGGTTTGAACTAGAATAAAAAATAATTAAGAAGGGTATTTTATGTGTAGCCAGCTTTATTTTCTCCTTCATATGATAAGTTACACTGTAATTTGAAAAATACACGATCAGCACAAATTATGTGACAGATCTCTTGGTTCCAGATCTTCTCCCATTTTCTAATTAAAATAGTGAAATTGTGAACTAGCCTGTCATGACACAGTGGTTCACAGCAGTGTTCATCCTACTGTACATTTTTATGTTTAGCCGAGCCACTGTAGAAAGGCTCTGTGGATCGGTACATGTGCCATACTGAGATAAAGCAGCTTGTTCTGGCTTCTTATTCCTTCGTTAGGAAGTTTCAGAGGCCAAGGGTAGAGGTCAGAGGTAGAGCTGAGCAGTAATAGTAGAATGTGGTTTGATCGCTAATATCATGGAAGAAAATACAGTTCTTGCTGTCATCCAAATTAAACAATGTGTGGGTGATAGCCAGTTTTTGTATTGTTGCATGCTGCTTGTCATATTGCGGACCACTAACAAATAGTTAATATCCATCAGCTAGTCTCTGGGCCACACTTTGAATAGCAGATAATCTGTGTACCCGACAGATTATTAGGCTAAATAACACCACTCAAAGCCAAATGAATTACAGGAAATCTTCAGAATTAGGTGACCATAAGCACTGATTTATTCAAACTAATAACTGTATTTCAAGGTAAGGATTTCCTCATGATTCTGCTTAAAGGATAAAATGTTTTCAGCTGGTTTAATTTGTAATCAATTAACTTTGTTTTACTGTTTTGAAATATTCTCTTACATTAACTCTACTGTGATGCTAGAAAGGCAGATTAAAATTATGTATCTAAAAGAGAAACTATATTCTTCATTAAAATACATTCTTCCTTTTCTATTAACAGAAGGAAAAGTACTTAGAGACCATTATATGGAACCATAAACTTGATAATAGAAAGAAAAATTTTTGTGATACAGTGTTTAAATCTCAATTTGTAACTTGGAGAGCCTGTTTGTAAAAAAGAGAAAGTAGGGTTCCTATTGAAATGATTTCTTTACTATATTATCTGCTGTTTTTGTTTTGTTTTTCATTTTTTCATTCTGAGCAGAGATTTGAAATTGGATAACTTATTATTAGACACAGAAGGCTTTGTGAAAATTGCTGATTTTGGTCTTTGCAAAGAAGGTAATTGGATTTTTAAGTTTCTTTTCTAACATGTTGCTTTGTAATTTGGTAATTTATAAGTTTATCTGTGGAAAAATGATGTTAAATCTATTCTTCATTAAGACATTTTGGATTATTCATATAACCTGATTATCACATTAAGAATTTATTCTGGATGCATGTGTTAGGATTCTATGGAAGTATTAAGCAGCAAATTGTTGAATCTTTTGGGGCTGTGCAGAGTGAACTACGTAGCTCTGATAAGTTCTCCAACCTTCTGAGAACCATGAATGTTTTCTGTATGTTTAACAGCAAACAAGTAAACCAGGGAAATTTGATTCAGAAGTCACTAAAAGCATAAAGAAGCCAGGAATGGTGGTATACACATATAATCCCAACATGCAAGAGACTGAAACAACAAGATCTTGAGTTTGAGGCCAGCTTGGGCTTCACAGGAAAACTGTGTCAAAAAAGGGGCAAGGGATAAGAAAAGAAGGAGATGGAAAGGAAGAAAGAAAAAGTATAGAAATCATGGTTTTAGGTACAAGATAATCTTAAGGCTGAATCCTGGTTTTGCCATTTACTTGCTGTGTGTTTTTACCAACTTCTTTCTCTCCTCTTGGAGCCTATGTCCTCAAGTGTTAAATGGATAGAAGTGCTGTTGAAATATGAGGCATACATGTTATACATCTAATATACTATAATTAACATTACCTATCTCCCTTTCTACACTAGTAGCTTCATTTCTATTTCAGCTTTGTTTTCATAGCACATAAAATGGTGCATGGTACATCTTAAGTATTCAATGAATATTTAATAAGTAGTTGGACAAATGAACAAACTTTGGAAATATATGTCCATCATGTATCCACCAGTCTTCTAAATGATGAACCCAGTAAAAGTTTTTATTTCTCAGAATCTGCCCCCTTAGCCTGTTGTTTCACAGCTTGTTTTTCCCATGTCCCATTGCAATTTCTTCCATATGGTACACCATACCATATTTTTATTTTCAAAGAAAAAGTCCATGGTGTATCTGAGTCTGATCATCATGTACTGAACTTTCATTTGCTTCCTAGGGGTGCCTTCTAGTTTTTATGTCTTTTTCTTTGCTAACAGTAATTCTGTCTTTCAGGAATGGGATATGGAGATAGAACAAGCACCTTTTGTGGCACTCCTGAATTCCTTGCCCCAGAAGTATTAACAGAAACGTCCTACACAAGGGCTGTAGATTGGTGGGGTCTTGGAGTACTTATATATGAAATGCTTGTCGGTGAGGTAAGCAGAGGGAGAGGTAAAAAAAAAAAAGGCTTTTGAAAGTGAACAAGTCGTTTATATCACTACCTAGTTATCTCCTGCATGAGAAGAATTTGAAAATTTAATATTCTAATATGCTAATAATTGGTACTGGCTGTGATGGTACATGCCTGTAATCCCAGCACTTGGGAGGTTGAGGCAGGAGGATTGCCATGAGTTCCCCAAGCTACATAATGAGTTCAAGGCCAACCTGAACTACATAGAGAGACTCAGTCTCAAAAAACAAAGAAACGCACAAATTAGCTATGTTTCTATAATTGCACCAGTAGTTTATGTCAGATTTTCACATGAGCTACAGAACGCATTATCAGTGCCTTAAAAAAGTATTAGGTTCTGGCTGTTTTATGATTGTAAGTCTTAATCATAAACATCAATTCATAGGGAAGAAAATAACTAGGAGCTAATAAAAAGTAGTTATTTACTTAGAAAGGCAAGTCAGCTATACCGTGATCAAAAATAAATGTTACCTTCAAAAACTAGAGGAGAGATGAAAAGATTTAATATTTCCCTCCATTTTGTTGTAGTGGTTTTTTGGTTTTGTTTTGGACAGGGTCTCACTGTGTAGTTCAGGCTGGCCTTGAACTCACCTTATCATCAAGGCTAACCTTAAACTTGCTGTTGTCCTCCTGCCATAGCCTCCCAAGTGTTGGGATGACAGGCATGCACCAGCACATCCAGCTCACCTCTTTTTTGTAAGTTAACTTGAAATAAGGAATAACTGAATCATATGTAAAAAATTTTTACAATTTAAGAAACTGAACTATATGGAATAAAGGTAGTAAGAGCCTTATATAGGAATGACAAGTAGATGCAGAATTTTGAAAGAGTAATGTTTCCAACGAGTGACTGAAAATTACTTTAGAGGGAATTGATCTGGAAAAGCATGAAAAATGGTTATATGGAATTGATTTTTATTCTGTAGTTTTTCCATTGCCAACAACCTTCCTTGTACATTCAAGGTATGAATAGATTTGCAGCTGAGAGAATAAACAAATTCTTGAATTTCAAAATGTCTAAAGATTTTGTTTGTGCTTGTCAATTACTGGCACTTACGCCAAACAAAAAGACTTTCATCTGGCCAAAGGCAGCCCCTCTCACTGTGTCAGATCGGAGTGCAGTCTCCGGACAAGGAGTGGAAGAAACGCGAGTTACAGCAGTGCAATCCATCATGTGCTAGCCACTGTGCTGTTGCTTTATAAGTAGTAACTTAGCTAATTTTTCATCAGCCTATAATAAGCTCCAGTCTAGTCTTCTGCCCATTTCCCGTTGTATAATTGGAGTCTAATACTTGCTAAAGTAACATAGATGAGATTTCTAACTGTGTCACAGTGGCTTCACAACCTAACTCTACACCTTTGTGCTTTGCTGCTTCATGATCGTGTATGGAATTCGTCTGGCCTTGTTTTCACCTTGAAGACCATTCTTCAAATCCCATTATCGCACTTTGTTTAGAAAGGCTGTTACATGGTATCTAGTTTGGAAGGATTCCTTTTAGCTCTAGTACAGCAGTCTTTCTAAAAGTGCAAAAGACTTGCAATGGTTTTTTCTTGTGGGTTATGGCATGCTTGGACTATCCTTCTTGTCTGGCTTGCAATACTGGAGATTGACCCTAAGATGTTTCACTGAACTGTATACCCAGCCCTTTTTTTTTTTTCCTTTAATTTATTTTGTGACAGGATCCTACTAAGTCACTACGTTGCCAAACTGGGCTCAAATTTGTCAGTGCTGCAATTACAGGAATGTATCATCATTCCCAGCTCCTCCTGCTTTTTAAAAAAGTAACGTTTTCATTGCTTTGGTTTTTAAATCAACTGTTCAAATAAATATGAAATTTAATTGTTACCAAAAATTATTTACTTGCTTAGAATTTACTCTTCACATTGGAGATGACATGCAAAAATGTGAGTTTATTGCAAAGTGCTATAGAATTAATAGCCTGCTAATTCTGTTTTTTCTAATTCTAAAGCTACTGTAGGATTTGTAAGAGAAAAAGGCAAGAAACTTCTGTATCATGGTTTTTAAGAGTTTTTTGGTTGATTGAGCTCTTAATTATCTATCTAGAATAATAGATGTAGCTATCCATTCCCAGTTGCTTTTCACAGTTTCATTTCTCTTTAGTGCGCTCTACCAGAGGGTAGTTAGGAAAAGAATTAAGCTTAATGCTCATCAGTCTACTTTATACTGTTATAGCCTTAGTGAAACTTAAGTGGTAACTTTTTCTTAAAAGTGCAGTGAAAGTGTGGCTCAACTAAAGTTTACGTCTGTTTGTGTTACTGCAAATAATTGAAAATTCATTGGATATGTATGTGTCTTCAGATTTGTATTTGTTACTTCCAGTTTGGGGGACTAGAACAACTCTAGGAGTAAATTCTAGGGTTCCCTTTTTCCGGTGCCAAATGAGAATGAATATGCCAAAGAAGTTTAAAGTAGTGCTGGACGCTGGCATGTGTGGTGTGAATGCTGACATCCAGACCAACTACTGGGTCTTCTTGTATTCTTAAAACTCACCTGTTAGCTTTTGTGATTAGCCCTGTTACACACAGGGTGCTTGAGCATTCAACAAATATGCTGATGTTTGTTTGCTGTTGAGAGATTTGTGGGGTGACAAGTTTCAAGCACAAAATGGTTCAAACAGAGGACAAAATAGCTCTTTCTGTATTTCCACTTGAAATTCTGATTGAGAAGCCTTGTGAAATAGAATTCTTCCTTGACTTGCTTTTTCAGTATCTGAAGGAAATGAGATTGTACCACATAGTGAATATTTGAGAAATGTGTTGTGAATGAGCGAATGAATAAAAGCTAAGGTTTGATAACTAAAAGATCTGAAATGTCCGTAGTTATGAACCATAAGATTGACAGCTAAGCCTTAGGGAATTGGGCTCTAAATTTATTTGCACAGGTTTTTCAGATTAAAAATTCCTCTCTTCCCATTAATATTGTCTGCTTGACTTTCATTCTTAAATACTTCACAGAAAGGGAGCAGCAAATTCCACATAAAGAAGCTTAGTAAAGGTTCTAGTCCCCCATTCAGAAAATCAGGTTAGAGATACTGACTTACTTGGGTAATTTTTAGATATTAAGTGATACTTAAACACGTATTAATTTTGAAAATTACTTTGTTTTAACAGTCTCACATTATAGTTCAGCTACCCTTTAACTCACTGTGTAGGCTAAGTTGGCCCCCAGCTCAAAGCAATCCTCCTATCTCAGCCTCCTAAGTGCTGGGTTTACAGACATGCACTACCATGCCTTTTTTGTTATTTTTTCTGTTCTGTTTTGTTTTTTGATTTTGAAAATTGCTGAGTAAACTGTCATCTGAAATTGAGACAATAAATCATACATGATAGCTAAGTAGTTAACATCACTGAAAATTATTTATTCCTTTGTACATCAAATTGTCACATTGGACATAAAGGCAACTACTGTTTTTCAATGATTTTTGTAGTGTGCTTACTGAAATGTACTGTCTGTTGTCTTTGGAACATTAAACTTGCCTGGTAATATATGCTTTTTTAGTTCCTTTGGTTTAACTTTGTGACAGCTGCTTCTTAGTGCAGTCATTACACCTACTAATCTCTAGTTGCTACTCACAAACTCTGTATGTGTGTGTATGTGTGTTTTATTTCTTGGTTTTATGAAACAGCTTCTCACTATGTAGTTCAGAATGGCCTTGACTCACTGTGTATACACAACCAGCCTCAAACTCACGGTGATCCTCCTGCCTCAGCCTCCCAAGTACTGGGATTAGGTGTGTGCCACCCATCCTAGTTCTCTAATAGCATTTTTACCATGATTAATGTGCTATTGGAATCCAAAGCACATCCACATCTGATATTTCTCCACAGACTCTTCTTTGTTCTGATAACCACATTGGCATTACCCATTTTCTTCTATCTCTTCACAAGATTGTGCTTTCTGAAGATAGTGTCTGTTGGGCGGGGGATTTAGCTCAGCAGCATAAAGCGCCTGCCTTGCAAGCACGTGGTTATGAGTTCGATCCCTGGTACGGATTTAAAAAAGATAGTGTCTGTTAAATATTCCCCACTGTTCAGTAGACAATCTTGAATATTGACTGTCCAGATGGATGAAAAAGTGAATGAAATAAAGTATAATAGAGTACAATAGGATTAAATTAATAAGGTCTGTAAAATAGATTTCAAGGGGGCTGGAGATTTAGCTCAGCAGCATAAGCACCTGCCTTGCAAGCAGGCAGTCGTGAGTTCGATCCCTGGTACCGATAAAAAGGAAAAAGACAAAAAAAAAAAAAAAATAGATTTCAAGATATAATTCATTCTGTAGGTAATGGATACATAATTATGTGATTTCTTATAGTTCTTGTTTGGTCGTCATTTTGTTGTTTTCTTTTTCACTGCCTGAATCTTGGATGTACTTGAATAGATGATAAAACTTTACTATCTTGAAACTTTCTCCTAGTCTCCCTTTCCTGGTGATGACGAAGAGGAGGTTTTTGACAGTATTGTAAATGATGAAGTAAGGTACCCAAGGTTCTTATCGACAGAGGCCATTTCCATAATGAGAAGGGTAAGAATTTTTTCTAAACCACTGCTTAAATGTTTTTATATTGAAGAACTTCAGAAGTGTTTTTTAATTCATAAACTTGCGTAGTTTATATAAATTTTACAACAAATGTAAGTCTTTGAAAGTTATGAGATCACATATCAGTGAAGTTTTTTTAATTGGTTTTAACTTTTTTACTTTACGTTATATCAGCTGTTAAGACGAAATCCTGAGCGACGCCTTGGAGCTGGGGAGAAAGATGCAGAGGATGTAAAGAAGCATCCATTTTTCCGGGTAAGTATGATAAAGTTCAGAAGTTTAGGTTTGTTTTGGTTTATGAACAAAGTAGGAGGCTAACCAGGGCATTTTTTATTTTATGATTCAGCTAATTGACTGGAGTGCTTTGATGGACAAAAAAGTAAAGCCGCCATTTGTCCCTACCATCAGAGGACGGGAGGATGTTAGTAATTTCGACGATGAATTTACCTCAGAAGCGCCTATTCTGACCCCCCCTCGAGAACCAAGGGTACTTTCAGAAGAGGAGCAAGAAATGTTCAGAGACTTTGACTACATCGCCGATTGGTGTTAATGTGTACTAGATACTGTGAAGCCAAGCAGACCGACTCACAAGGAAACCTCTTAAAATAGCAGCTGTTCATTTGCTCTCTGGGCCACCAGTAGCTTCTGAGTTTTTTTTGTTTTTTTTAAACACATGAAGATTTGTGTAAAAGTACTATTTTAATACCTTCTTAAACAGTGGTTTCTCAATGTTTTTCAACATAAATTTGAGCACTGGAAACAGTTTCATGGAACTTAGTCTGAATGAACTTTGGCCATGAAAATCCACCACAAAGGAATACTTTTGGATTAGTAGTCTGTTTTTTTAAAAATAAGAAAAAAACCACTCTTTGCAGTCCCTATCTTTGCCATAATGCCTGCCTTAAGTGGAGGGAAGATTAATCACTTAACTATTTTCAAAAGCAAACACTAGAGCTTAGAATGCTATTACTGTTCACAAAAACTATGATTCTGTTTGACTAAGGCAACTGCTCTTTTTTTTTTTTTAAGAAATTACCATAATATCAAAAGTGTAGTGGCATTTTATAAACCTTTGGTGGCTTGATTTTTTTTTTTAAACAATGAATTGATGTCTTCTTTTGTAAATTGTATTTATCTGGAAAAAACTTTATTGCCTTATCTTTACCAACCATGTAACAGAGCCTCATAGCTTTCCAACAGAGCTACTTGCCAAACAATTTCTTGTTTATTAATGCTGAAATAGGAACATCAGCATTTACTTAAAACATTAGACTGAGGACTTCTGATTAGCCTGAATCATGATACTGTGTTGCCTGTGTGCATTCCCAAAGTCTAGACACCAGTCTGTCCAGTCCTGTCTTCTAGTCAGTGAGCTGATTGTCCCCTTTTCTGATATGTATTCTACAGTTACCAGCCTAGTTTATTTGTACTTGTGTCTGCTGTAGAACCAAGCTGTATCTTTGTTAAATCGTAGGGATTATCATTGTATACATGCTGTGAACATGTATATGTGAAAGTTGTAATGTATTCTGTAATGTAGGCTTCTTATTTAATTTCACCACTTCATCACTTTTGTACAGTGGCCAGGCAGACACCTCAAACTCCAGCATTTACATTAAGTGCATTTGTATATTTTAGGCCACTGGATCCAGATTTTATATTGGCAGTTACTGAGGGCAAAAGCAATATATTGTAACAGAATGTATAAATATTTTTGATAAAACAGTCTATATTTTATAAAAAATATTATAACACTAAAGCTGTACCTCAAAAGTCTCAAAAATAATTTGATCAAATACTTTTTACAATTCTTCAAGAGGATCCGTTTGTGGCTTATTACACTCTTACAGTATATGTTTTACAAATCATGACTTTCCATTTGCTTGGGGTTTTGTTTTACTTTGCTCCTAGTCCATGTCTTAATTGTTTTCTCTTAATAAGATCTTTGATCCTGCGCTTAGCATGTTAGGGTCATTATACCTCAGGAATAACAAGCTGTCAACTAATCATGCCGAATTAACTGTTTAATCACAATGAGCTCATCTCTTAAAAATTACTGAAATTTAAATCCTTATAAAAATAGAGTAATTTGTAAAGAGTTGAGCCTAATGCATTTATAAATATTTTGGCCTTGTTACATGTTTTTATTGTACTTTGTAAATGAAACTGTCCAGAGGTAATTCATATTACCTTTAAAATTATTATCCAAGATACTTTTGGAGAAAAATCTTTTAAAAAGAGGAATAATGTGTTATTTAAAGTTATTTTTAAATGCCAGTTAAACTTCTTTGAGAAAAGACAATTTGAGATGTAAGCATAATTTTCTAGTTTTAATTTAAGCATCATTAACAGCATTAAAATGAAACACTAAATACTTTTGAGGTACAGTCTGCTCACCTATCTGGTTCTCAAATATGCCTAGAAAGCAATGTCTACAATGGCTTTTAGCATTTTAAAAACTGACATAGCATTTTATAACTACACGGTGTACAGAAAATTTTTAATTGAAGTCAGTCACTAAAAATATTAGAGGGCAGGGTATATTCACACAATTAAGCTGAAGAAAGCACTAATTTTTTCTGTAGTTTAAAGTATATATATATATTTTAGTCAGATTAAAAATTTTAAGAGTGTAAATATATTTTGCTATTACTGTATGTGTATGTGACTGCTCAAGCACTTTGTAAGGAAGTTAGGGTATTTTAGAATGGTACACTATACATTTAAATGAAATGTGCCTATGTGTCATTCTAAGTGTTTTTTGCAGTCATCAATTACCACAAATGCACAAATTAAAGTTTAAATAGACTGAAATTTGTAACTTTGGTTTTAAGTGTATTTCCTTTTAGAAGCGTCCTAATGATTAAAATACATGCTAGCTTTACTTTAAGATCCCAGAAACTAATTTCATGAGACTTCCTGCGAGTACTTTTTGTCTGGGGAAGGCTAAAACCATGAAAATTCACAGGAGGTTGTCTACTTCATTAGGAAAAATGGGGAAATGGTGTATTCTGCTGTGAGTAGCATCTTTCATCCAGCAGATACTTGGTGGGGCACCCACTATGATGGGACACAAGAATAGGGAGGTGGGAGAAAAGCAATAAAGTTCTTATTACTAAGCACCATGCATTAATATTAAAATCCAAAGACTGGTATTATATGTACTTTTGTCCTGTTTGGGTTAACTTTTTTTTAACTTAGGACCGATCTTTTCATAACTGGGAAATGAATAAAACAGTATAAGTCACTTGGTAATCATCTTGTTAAAAAAAAGTTGCAAATGGAGTATTTTAGAAATACTCTATAAAATGACCCATTCTCTCCCTGCAACACAAATTGAAAATAAAAGGGAAATTGACGTTATATGTTAACCAAGTAAAAGGTTCCTGACAGATTCAGACAAAATTTTCGTAAGTACTATTCCCCTTTCCAGAGCCAGAGGAAATGAGTAGCAGAAACTCAAGGAGTAAATCCCAGTTTCATGAATCATAACCTTACTTTAAATTTAGAATTAGCATTTCTTTTAGCCATCTTTTAAGACAGTGTTTCTCTGCGATCCTGACTTTACACATTAAACTTTAAAATCATTAAAAATGAGTAAGTGTACAAATTTATGTGTGTGTACATGCATATATACATACATAGAGTTGTGTTTAGATAACTTCAAAATCTAAGGGTCAGAACTGAATTGTACACTTCCTAGTATCAAGATAAAGTAGAATATGATCTTCAGAGAGGCATTGCTACTGTCATTATGCAGAAAGTAAAATTATTTTTGTTTTGTTTTGTTTTTGTCTTTTTCCTTTTTATCGGTACCGGGAATCAAAGTCACGACTACCTGCTTGCAAGGCAGGCGCTTATGCCGCTGAGCTAAATCCCCAGCCCCAGTAAAATTATTTTTAAGGCCAGTCTGGGCTAAGTAGTCCATTCAAGGCCAGCTGGAGCAGACTAAGATCTAAAACCAGTGACATCATCCTTTAGCAGTGGACTCAGCAGACGCCTTCTCATTAAGCGTTTATTAAAATTGGGATTAGCGAAAGTGGTTGTGGTGGTGCATGCTAGAGACTTGAGACAAGAGATTGTGAGTTTGAGGCCAGCCTGGACTACATAATGAGACCTGCTCTCAAAACCAAACGAAAAATTTTAAAATTGGGAATAGGTCTAGGATGCTTTTCTAACACTGTATTCTGTCATTTTCTGGGGCATAGGATGCAAAGAAAAATGGGTGGTGGCTACAGCCACTATTCACAGTAATAAGATGTTTTACTTAGAAAATTCAAGCTTGCAGTTACTGTTTGTAATACATACAAGATTATGGAAAATGGCGTATAGCTGTGTATCATCAAACAATTCATATTGTAAAAATGCATCTTAGTGACAAAAGTTACATAGAAATCTATCAAGTGATATTCCAACCATTTGAGAAAAAATTTTACTGGGAGATAGTAAAGAAAACCTAAGTATAGAAATACCCATGCATAATGTTTTCCCCAAATTGCTGTGTAGATCCAATTAGTATCCCAATTCATTTTTGTGAAACTGCAAGGTCATTCTACACTTACATAGAAAGACAAAGCATCAAGAACAGTTAATAAAGTTCTTGGGCTGGGGATTTAGCTCAGTGGTCCAAGCACCTACCTGGCAAACGTGAGGTAGTGAGTTCGATCCCCAATACCAAAATAATAAATGTCTTGAAGGAAATTTAAGCCAGACATTGCTCAGTACTTGAAAGGCTGAAGCAAGATTACCTCGAGTTCCAGGCCAGCCTGAACGACATGTAGAGACCCTGATGCCTCAAAAAAAAACACCTGTTACTTTATACATAAAAATTTCGAATGGTATAAACATGAGATGTTGAAATTAAATCTTCGAGGATACATAAATGTATTCAAAAGCAAAAAACAAATGCAGCTATGATGAGGAACTTGTTTATTAGAAAAACAAGGCACAAACTAGGAATATAATTTCCATTATGTGTGTAATCATAATTTAAAACTAAGAAAAATAGAGGCCTTGCAAGCGCAGGCATCACAGGAGGTCCCTGAAACAATGCGATGGGGATGTTGCTGTGGGAGAAGCCATGGCCTCACCGTGGTAACCACAGGGGCCTCCTGTGACCCACATCTCTCCTTGGGCCTCTGGAGAATCAGAATCTTGGGTGAGGGCACTGGACCCTTGTCCCGCAAGTAGCGCCACAGCTCTCAGACACCACTGCCACCACCGTGTAAGGAGCACATGCCCATAACTCCAAAGGAAAGAACAAGGAGGTGATATTGATGTACATAGATCAGAAAATGCACCTATTGTTCAATATGAGTAGAAGCCACCATTCTTGGAGAAATGGGCAATCCCATGTTGGGGGAAGGAAAGGAATGCCAAAAAGTGATTTTGAAGGGTCTCTGGGGCTGAGGAGTATAAACCTACTCATCCCTCAAAACAAAATGAAGAGGGGACTGAGAGAACATGGCGGACAGACAACAGCAACTACTGAACGCTCTCTAAAGGCTCGGCTCAGAGGCCAGGAATGATGCGGACTAAGGAGATACGAACCAGTAGAGATATGCTCTGCTGACTCAGGAACGAACTGGGCTGAGAGAATCCAACTTGTTATACAGTCCTGGCGCTAAAATAGGAACAGAAAAATCTCGGTGTGGAGGCTCGACTCCACGCCATTGGAAACCGCGGTTTGGATTTCCCGCCCCGCCCGGCGGCCGGCTGCCTCCATAGCGGCTCAGCAAGGAGAGACGCGACTGCCGAGCTCTGGGAATGGGAGTCTCCGAACGGAGTCGGAAACGCGACGGACAGGGAGGAAGGCTGACTGGTGGCGAGGTGAGCGAGGAACTGACTCCCTACCGCAGTTTGACTCCAGCGGAGGTTTTTCTGGGCGCGGGCAGTCCTGTAAGAGCAGGGCGCGGTGGCAACTGCAGCCGCACATTTCCCTCTCGGACGGGATTGGTGAAAGGTGCCTGGCCGGAGGGACGCTGCTCGCGGACTCCCTAGGCTGGCCTAACCCAGATCCCAGAGCCTGACGGTGGCCCGGAGGAGCGACCGACTCCCGCGTAGGCTGCCTCCTCCGCAACTCCCTGGGGCGCAGCGGTGAGCGGGAACAACTAGCCAGCGCAATTTGATCAAGCTGTGGCTGACAGGCAGGGAAGCCGGGCCTCCTGTGTAAGATTACATTTTATAAGGAACAGAAAATATGGGGAAGGGAAGCAACAAAAAAGGCTCCTCGACCCCCAATCCTGAGAATCAGGCAATAGTGGACACTGCACCAATATATATTAAGCGCCATTTAGAGAGCCTCATAGACCAATTCAGGAATGAAGTTATCAATGACCTGAAGCTAGAAGTATGCAGAATAGTTAGAGAAATGCTAAGCACCACCCAGGAAAAAGCAGATGGTGGAATGGAAGAACAGAAAAAGAGGGGAGAATTGCTTGATGGAGAAAACAGAGAAAGCATTGAGTATGTGAAGCAGGTGCAAAGGGACTATCAAGAAATTAAGAAGTCTACCCAAGACTGGCATAACAGCTTGAAAGAAACTAAGGACAGACTATCTGAATTGGAGACTTGAAACATGGGAGAATGAAATGAAAAACTTCTTAAAAATAACAAAGAAACACACAGCAATAATACAAAGACAAGAAGATGATAAGAGGAGCCATAACTTAAGGATTAAGAACATAAAAGAAGAAGTAGGGACACAAACAAGTGAACTACAAAAGCTACTCACAGAAATAATCCAGGAGAATTTTCCTAATTTAGCAAAAGGTAAAGATACTCAAATGTATGAGGCATACAGGACCCCAGCTACCTACAACCCTAACAGAGAAACACCCAGGCATATAATAATAAAAATTCCAGAAATTCAATACAAGAACAGAATATTAAAAGCTGTAAGAGACAAGAAACAGATCACTTACAAGGGAAGACCCATCAGAATTACAGCAGATTTCTCTTCACAAACCATCAAATCACGAAGAGCATGGGGAGAAATAATTCAAGCTTTGAAAGATAATAATCTACAGCCAAGATTGAGATATCCTGCACAACTGTCCCTGGAAATTGATGGAAAAACGAGGTGCTTCCAGGATAAAGAGGAACTGGGGGAATTTGCAACCACCAATTCAACCCTACAGAAAGTATTGCAGGATATTCTAAAAAAAGAAAAATACAAAGAACCCAGAAATAGGGGCGGGGAGGCCACAACGAATGGAGCAGAGAACAAAATGAAGAAGACAAACTGACAGCTACTGACAGAAAAAGAGCTCAACAGAAATGAGACAGAAGATTGGATGATAGGAACAGCTTTTTTTTGGAGAAAATGACATTTTAATAGGTAATGCTGATTTAGTACCATCTTGTTTTGAAGTCTCATCTAGCTTTTGTTCTTCTGTCTCCAATGGTCTAAACAGGTTGTATCTTATTGGATTTTGTTATGTACGATAGTATAAGAAAAAACCTTTTAAAGACAAGGAGATTATACAGAGACCATTGTTCATTTTCTGTTAGTCAATTCTAAATACTCTATAATGCTGTCATTCTCTTAAATGGATTTACATTGTTTTGATATACTTAATGCTACAGTATATGAAGTTGTACTCAAGGACTTCAGGGAGGGAGTCAATATGGTAACTATTTTTGGGTCAGGATTAGCTGGTGGTGAAACACTATTCTGCTTAAATGGTTATGTTTTGATCTGCCCTGTTTCGCTGTTATGCCCTCCTTTTTCTCAATCTCCACTCCATTATTTACTTTTTTATTTTTATCCATTTAATTAAAGGGAAAAATATAGCAGGATATAATATAGTAACCCACTTT